CCTGTGATCCCAGCACTCTGGAGGCTGAGGCAGGAGGATTGCCATGAATTTGAAGACACCCGGAACAGCACAGTGAGACCCTATCTCAAAGAGGGGTGGGGGACAGGGATGTAGCTCAGTGGCACCGAGCCTGCCTGGCAAGTGCAAAGTCCTGAGTTTGATCCCCGGAACCACAAAAAGGAGAGAGAATGAGTTGGGTGTGGTAGCATCACAGTAGAGGGCTTGCCACTCACTTGCCTGGCATGCACAAGGCCCTCGCCTCTGTCCCCAGCACACCAAAAAGAAAGAAAGAGAAAGAAGGAAGGAAGGAAGGAAGGAAGGAAGGAAGGAAGGAGAAAATTCACTGAGCTGTAGCTTTACGTGTCAAAAGTCTTACACGAGTGATTATTGTTAGTCTTTTTTTTTTTGTACTAGGGATAGAACCAGGGCCTTCACTCTGAGCTAGGTCCCCAGCCCTTTCTTTACTCTTTGTTTTGAGTTAGGATCTCACTAAGTTGCCCAGACAGTGTGATCGTCCTGCCTCAGCCTCCCAGGATGTGGAAATCACAGGTGTGCACCACCCTGCCCAGCGGCTGCTATTTTTCATTCCTGTTAGAGTTCTTATCCCCAAGCACATCTGGATTGTTGGAAGTTTACCTCCGAGCCCAGGAGGTGCAGGGTTGAGGAAGAACTGCCCACGCCCAGGGCCTCGGGCTTGGCTTCCCACTCACCCTGCTCGCTGAGGCCCTGGCAGGGTCACCTAGCAGGCCCGGATGCAGAACCCGAGTCCAGCCCTGTGGGATAAGCAGAGGCCGAGGTCAGAGGCCACATCACGCCCCAGGCCCAGCAAGCAGCACAGCCCGCCCCGTGACATGGTGACACAGCCCGCCCCGTGACATGGTGACACAGCCCATCTGAGATTTTTTTCCTGTCCCTCACTTCATTACTCCAGGAGGCCTGGGCCGAAGCTGCTGCCACCGCCATGGGCCCCGTCTCCCGCTGCCATAGCCCAGGGTCACAGGTGCCAGGATGCACTTGTTGGCAGGGGCCTGGCCCTCTCTGTAGATCTTGGCAGAAACAACAACCTGTTTTGCACCAGGAATCTCAAGAGGCCCCAAATCCCCTGCTCCTTCTCCCTGAGAGCCTGTCTTGTGATGAGTTCATTTGACCTCATGGCAACCCCAATCAGGGCAGAGCAGCAACCTCTCCATCACACAGAGAGGAAAACTGAGGCCAGGAAAGCAGTGGAACAGGGACTATAGAGCCTCAGTCTGGAGCCTGGAACCAGCCTGTCTCCCCTGCATCAGTGGGCCACAAACCTGGCCCATCACCTGTCTCTGTAAATAAAGTTTTATTGGAATGCAGTCACACTTGTTCGTTCATCTATTGTCTCTGTCTGCTTTCACTGGGACCACACCAGAGCAAGTAACTGCAACTGAGACTTTTTACCACATGGCCCTGTGCAGAAAAAGTTTGCCAACCCTATCCTAGACCACACTTTCCTGTTGAAACATTAGGTTGTTGAAAGAGTTTTCTTTTCCTTTTTGAGACAGAGTCTTGCTATGTAGTCCAGGCTGGCCTCAACTCACGACGCTCTTCCTGCCTCAGCCTCCCGAGTGCTGGGATTTCAGGCATGCACCACCACACCCAGCTAGCAGGCCCTATTAATCTCACCACTTTATCCATAAGGAAACTGGGGGCCAGAGAGGTTAAGATACTTGCCTGAAGTCGCACAGCTCTGGAGTGATGGAGTCAACTTTAAAGATGATGGAGTGATGGAGTGATGGATGCTGAAGGTTGTAGAAGGGGCTGCCTTCATGATCTAAAACAGGTCCATGTTTTCCTGCTTGTTTCCTTGTCATCAGCTGGTAGCCTTCCAAATCCTTGTCATACGGGAGCACTAAAGTGATTTGAAGGGACAAATGCTTCCTCCAAGAGAGTGGCACTCAGTCAGGAGTCTGAACTATCACAAGGAAGGTGGAGGAGCTCCTGGATTAGCCAAGGCTGGGTGTGTCAACTCCAAGCTCTGGGACAGAGATGCGGGAGATCACCTGGGGAAAGACCAAGTTTAACCTCTGTGGTTTAAATAGGCAGTGTCCCCACAGACTCATGTACGAGGGCCTGATCCCTGAGGCCACTGTGTTCAAGGTTGAGGGGCTATGAGGGCACCGACCTCAGTGATTAAGGCCTTGGGTCAATCCATGAGAGCTGGAGGGGCTGTCGGCAGTTGGGGCCCCATTGGACGAAGCAGGTGTCGGGCGCACGTTTGCAGGTTACATCTGGGCCCAGCCCCATGCTTGCTGGCTTTTCCCCCTCTCCCTGCTTCCTGGCCACTATGAAGTGAGCAGCTCTCTTCCTTGCTGTGAACCTCATCCTTCACTGTGGTGGTTCTGCCATGGAGCCAGCTGGCTATGGACTGAACCCTCTGAAATAGTAAAAGGCAAAATGAACCTTTTGTCTTCTACATATGGTACATTAGGTATTTTGTCCCAGCAATGGAAAAGTGACTAATACTGGTCCAACCCATCGAGGACAGTTATTGGGTCACAAACTGGAAAGTTCAAAGGGGCGCTGTAGAGCTGGCTGCGGCCAAGCTCTGAACCACTGCCCTCAGGAAAGTCACACTCACCAGTTCTCTTTCCTGCCTTGGCTTCACTCGTAGACAGAGTTCTTCCAGTAGGGGCAAACTCACCCGAGCTGTTCACATTTTTTAAAAGAAAAGTTTTATTTATTTATTTATTGAGCCAGGGTCTTGCTATGTAGTTCAGCCTGGGCCTGAACTCACTATATACCCCAATCTGGCCTGGAACTTGACAGCAATCTTCCTGACTCAGCCTCCTAAATGCTGGGATTATAGGCGAGCACCACCACACTCAGTTTACATTTAACAATTCTTTACATCTAACAATTCCATGCTCCAGCAGAACTTTCCCACCAGTTCCCACAAAAAAATCTCAGGGATAGGGCCGGGAATGTAGCTCAGCAGCACTGAGTCTGTCTGGCAGGCCCAAGTCCTTGAACTCAACTCCTGGTACCAAAAAACAAAACAACACAAAAAAACTCAGGGCTGACTCTCATTGGGCCACTTGGGGGGGGAAGGTCACGTGTCTATCTCTGAACCAATGGCAGCAGCCTGGGGGAGGGACCATACTAATAGACCCGCTTGGCTAATCCAGGAGAGGGGGTCAGCTCCCCTTAGACTGAGAGAGCGAGCGCCTCCTAGTGGGAGAGGAAAGGAATGCAACCGGACCAAGCCCATGGTTATCTACCTTGAGCCTCTGGAGGAAAATGTGCATTCCCTGGAAGGGCAGGGAGGAAGTTATCTAAAATATGTCTCAAAGTAACAATTGTAGAAAGGGCTGGGGATCCGTGGCAGAGTGCTTGCCTAGCATGTGCAAAGCCCTGGGTTCAGTCCCCACCCAGTACAGCAAACAAAGTAAGAAACAAGAAAAAGTGTTTCTTAGCCGCTTCGGGGAGTTCCTTCTTCCCAGGAGCTTCTCTCCCCTGCCCCCAAATGCAGAGCCCCCTTCTCCCCAGCCATGCTAGGCACTCTCTTTAGTGCCCTGGCTCACTTTTATGCCTAGAAGTCAACTCTGAGTCTTGCTGCCCAGGGCCCAGTGCAGAGATGGGGCTCCATGAACCAAACCACCCCCCCAAGTCTGCCTTCCAGCACCTGAGCTCGGTTGCTCCTGGTGAAGAGAGACAGCAGAGGAAGGCACACAGCTCCTCAGAGTCAGAGAGGCTGACAGAGGAGGGGAAGCAGAGAAAAGGCAAGATCCACAGAGAGGCTGGGCGTGGTGCACAGGCCTGTAGGCCCAGCACTGTGGAAGCTGAGGCAGGGGGATTGCAAATTTGAGCCTAGCCTGCGCAACTTAGCAACTTGACGAGACCGTCTCAAGCTGGGGTGGGGGTGGGGGGTGCTGGAGGGTGTAGATTATTGCAAAGGCCCTGGATTCAATTACCAATATTGAAAAAAAATCCACAGGGAGGGGTCTGGAAGGAAAGTCTGGCAGGAGAGCTGCAGCTGGTTAAAGTTTTTTCCCCCATTAAGCAAACAAGGAAGGCTCCAGTGATTTGTGTTTCGTCCAGCCGAACTTTCCATATCAGGAGGTGAGTTAGCTGAGGGACCAACTCTGGTAAAAAACCCTGGAGCATATGAGGCGCCTTGGGTGGGAGGAGAGGCAGCAAGATGGGAGGGGCCAGCTTGTGTCTCCAGGTCGGGCCTGGCCTGACTTGGCCACGTCCACCTCCCTGCAGCTCCCGGGGGCTTCCCCGGGCTGGAAGAGGAAGTGAGAGCTGCTAAGTGAGGAAGTCAAGACTGGGAGGAGCATCAGGGAGGGGGAGGAAAGGGCCTGGAGAAGGTTCTGGATCCAGCTGGACCCTCAGTGCCAAGATGGCCACCTCCAGGTCAAGATAGGGTTGCAGCAACTCAGTCCCTGAGTTGTCCCAAATCCAGGAAGCCAGACCTGGAGGTGTGGTGTCAGGTGTGGCTGTTTTCTATTTTTTATGTTTTGAGGTGCTGGGAATTGAACCCAGGGCCCTATCACAGAGCTGTCCCAGGACTAGGTGTGGCTTTCAGATTGGGGCTCTGCCTGGCCACACAAGCTGGACAAGGGCCATTGCTGCTGCTTCCTCATCTGCACAGAAGACCAAAAACACCTGCCCACAAAAAGGAGTACCTGGGGCTTGCCTGGCACCCAGCTGGTGCTTTGTGACAACAGGTATGCTCACCTCCCTGTGCAGTCAGGGCCAGGCTGTCCTCACCATGCATCGGATTTCACTCTTTAATGTGACAAAACCATAGTGTAGCCTGGCACGGTGGCCCACACCTGTAATCCCAACACTTTGGGAGGCTGAGGAAGGAGGATTTCAAGTTTGAGCCCAGCCTGGGCAACTTAGTGACTTAGCATGACCCTGTCTCAAAATAAACCATAAAAATGGGCTGGGGATGTAGCTCACAGCGAAAGCCCTGGCTTGCATCCCCAGTACCGCAAAAATGAAAACCAGAAAAAAAAGCACCGTGTACTCATGATTTGAATTTTATTTTCTGAAATGGAACCATTGTACATTGTACAAACCATATCTACTGATGGAATAAATAAGTGAAAAATTATACTGCTGTACAACACACCAAAAAAAATTGTAAGAGGAAAAACAATTAAGTAACGGTGAAGAGAAGGTCTTTATCCCTCTAAGCAGGTCCTTGGCGCTAAGGAACATTCCGGACGTGACACCGGCTGACGATGGCGGTCACCACCCTAGAAGCGGTCGCCAGCCTTCGTTCGGTCGGTGCCAGCACTCTGGAATGTGGAGCCGCAGCCTCCCCGCCTTGAGTCTCGGGGATTGAGTTTGCCCTGGGAGCCCTTTAGGCCATGGGGCCTGGTGTCCCCGAGGATCCCACCCTGGCGAAGCCAGGTCTTGGGTTCCAGTGGGGACAGGGCGAGGGTGCGGGTGGCTGGAAGGAAGCACATTGGATTTCTGCAGTCTCACCGATCCGTGTGGAAGGCGTCCGGCCGGTGGGGCGAGCAGGGCTGCCGGTGCTTTGCCTGGCCTGGCCATGGCTGTGGCGGGGCCCTTGGGTCCTCACCACTGGCCCATTCCTACCTACAGGCACTTCAGAGAGAAACGAAGGGCAGCCTGGGACTGCGGACCTCATCACCTTCAACCCCCGCGTCAGCTCCCCTCGCCTGTCCGGAGAGGTGCAGGGGCCCCTGGCTGGCCCGCTGGCCCCGTGGATTCGTGTATGGGACTCTCCGTCAGCTGTCACCTCTCATTTCCCTAGAGAAATAAATATCCCAATTCGTCTTGCCCCAAAATGGTTTGCTGCAAAGTGTCACCCTAGCTTCAAGAGATCTGGAGGTCAACCTCCGAGAGTCTCGAGATGGCTTTCGAGGTCCCACATCCGGTCACAGCTGTGACAAGACCCAGGTCTCAATTCTCAGCAGAACTGGCCCCCTGAGGGCAGGATGGAGAAGTATGAGGATTTTTTTTTTAAGACAGAAACCTTTCAGCATTGCTAACTTCAACATTAAGATTTTCAGTTTGTTTGTTTTTTTCCCTTATTTCAGGAGACATTTTGCATGAGGTATTTGAAATTCAGGAACATTTCTGATTCTTCTTGAAGTGCAGGAAATAGATAGGCTCCCTTTTTAAAAAAAAAATAGGAGCTTCGCCCTCAGAAACTCTTAGAAAATGGGATCTGCCAGACACTTCCCACGGTGGTCGGAGAAAGACCCCCACATCGAAGGTGGTACCTGAATATGCACCAATTTAGCCCCAAAACAAAATGAAAACAAAACAACAAAACCCGCAGCCCCCACCCCCAGTAACACACAACTCAAAGGGAGCCAGAACTCCAGTGCAGTAAAGAAAGCTTAGGAAAAGGTTTAAGGTCCGAGGAGTCCGGAGAGTCGTTAGAGCAAACCAGGCCCTGGAACTGACAGTGAGGCATTTGTCTCCATCGTCTCCATGGAGACAGGACGCTGCCGGCCGCAGTGGGGTGGGGCCAAGGGGCCGCTTCTGCGGGGCGCTCCTTCCTGGAGGATGTGCAAATCTTCCCAAGTCCTGGGTGCCTTTGCCTGGCCTTTAAGGCCCAATCCTCAAGGCCTGCTCCCTGCTGAGACCGAGGGCTTGTCCTGGGAATGAGCCCCAACTTGTCGCTCTGAGAGTCAGTACCGTGTGCGACCACGTCCATGGGGAAGGGGACCTGGGGGCCGCAGGGCCAGAGACTTGAATCCAGCGACGTCCCAGGAGGGTTCAGCACCAGCTTGGCCCACCGCCTGCTTCCGGCCTCCCCAGCCCTGACAATGCCTCAGGAAGCATCGTCCAGGGGTCCAGCAGACAGCAGAGGACGGAGGTGGTGGCGACAGCGGGAACAGAGGTGCAGAAGTGCCAGAAACATCCAAGGGCTTTGTGAGTCCTAGAAACACACTCCCAAGGCCCGGGCAGGTAAGGGCGCAGTGCTGAGCAGGAGGCCAAGCTGGGCTCAGGGCACCTCACTCCCCATAGCTCTATCCTGCGGCTCAAAGCAAAGTGGTCCTGGGGTGGGGAGGAGGGAGAGGGTCAGGTGGCAGCCGCCCAAGAGGGCACTTTGCAAAGGGAGAGCAAAACAACCAGGAGACATGCCAGAGGTCACCTCAAGGGCACAAGGCACAGAAAAAGAAAGCGGAAGGAATCGTGAAACAGTGAAAAGCCCCAACAGGAAGCGGCACCTGATGGGCACCACACTCCCATAGCTCATATCGTGAGACAGAGGGGACACAGCAGCAACACAAATGTCATCTTGGCTCCCAGGACAGTGTGCAGACTCCTAAGCGGTCGCTCGCCTCGCCAAGGACAGTTGCTTCAAGGTTCGAGGTCTCGCTTCGCAGCAGAGGTCTTCAGTGTCTGAGAAGTCACGCCGGGCCAGGTGTCCTTGGATTCGACTTGGTAAACCGGAAACTGTGTGGTCTGTCCGCACCCAAGGGCACCACTGGGCCGCGAGGTTCAGGACGCAGCCTGCAGTGCCCCTGCCAGGACACAGGGCCGGAGACCAAGCCGGCGCCTACATCTCCTCGGGGTTCTGCTGCGAGGCCTCCAGCTTCAGCTTCTTGGAGGGCGGCCCTCCTTCCAGGTCCTGGGGAGGAGGAAGGGGAGAGATGCAGTTCTTGAGCCCAGAGAGTGGCTCAGGCAGAAGTCAGGACGCAGGGAGGGCAACCATGCCCTACTCTAGGCTCTGCCTCCCTAAGATCAATCTAAAGGCTTACAGCGAGCAACGTGAGCTCTCCTCCAATCCTCCCCGAGGCCCAGGGCAGGCCCGCACCTCATCAGACAGCTGAAGCCTAGCTCCAAAGAGGCGGTGCTGGGGTTTGAACCCAGGTCGCCTCAGGGACGTCAGCTGTCACCACAGCCCAAATGTGCATTGCCGGATCCGGGCCAGGTTCTGATGCTTGGTTACAACCCAGAGAGGGCCTCGGGCAGGCTCGGCTGCAGGCTCAACTGCAGACTCTAAGCCTGGCTTGGGCTCTGGGTTTCTGAGGTCTTGTCTCCCAGCCCCGATGGACATGGGCTGGGGTCACTGGGGCAGCCAATGCCATCGTGGGCTCTAAACCACACAGGAGGAAGCTGGGGCCTCCTCCTCCATCCTAGAGATTCCCTGGGAGCAGGGACATGTTTCCCACCCATCGGGATGGCACCAGTGCCTGGGACGGAGCCTCATGGACATCACAAGACACCCTTCTTCCATCCTTTCCTTCCTCCCTTCCTTGTTTCCAGTACTGGGGCTTGAACTCAGGGTCTCACACTGAGCTACATCCCAGCCCCTTTTACATGTTGGGGACAGGGTCTCAGGAAGTTGCTAACTTGCCCAGGCTGGCCCTGGACTCCTGATCCTCCTGCCTCAGCCCCCCGGGGCACTGGGAGTACAGGCAGTTACAGGCCCAACAACACCTGGGCCTGGTGCCAGGTACCTGAGAGGTTGTGGACGACTCGGTGGTCAGCCCCGACTCTGCAGACGGCTGCCGCTCCACTTTCTCCGAACTGTTTGAGTTTTCCATCGACGACTGTGAGTTCTGCTCATCAGCAGCATCTGAGAGAAAGAGCAAGATGACAGAAGCTGTTTTCAGACATGTGACATACATGACAGGCCAGAGCAGATGGGCCCAGTTCTAAAAATACCCAGAACCCGGTAGTTTTGTGGCTGTGTACTTCAGAGCTGGATGGGCTGGGGCCTGCGAAAACTCTTGTTTATTTGTAATGAGGTCGTTTTGGGCGGCTGCAGGTCCCAGCCTCCTCCCACACCTAGGAGCTGCCCGGGCGCGGCACGGCTGATGCTGCAGCTCCCGGCGCCCCCTGGTGGCCACGCACCCCACGACCGCGGCAGTGGCTCCCTCTCCCGCAGGGCGGCCGGCGGAGGAGGCTGTGTCTCCTCCTGGCCATCGTCAGAGGAGCGCAGCCTCTGTAAACGTTTCTTTTCATGATGACTGTTTCTCCCAAGGACCGAGAAATGACTGATCAGTGCAGGAAACAGAAAATACGGGAGAAAAAAGTTACAATCATCATCTCACAGGACCCGGCCAACATGTGAGGAGGCAGCCTCCCCTCCTGCCCGGCCCCACGCGGACCAACTTCCGGTCTCCCGAGATGGCCACAGCGTCCCAACACACAGTCACTCAGACCCAGCGCATCTGGCTCTCGGCTTATTTCTCCGGCTCAGCCTCCAAGTCACCCGGGCCTGGGTTCCGAGGGCAGCAGGGAGGTGTGGGCTGATGGGATCTGGCGCGGCTGTGGTCTCCCTGGCGCTTCTGGGACTCAGGGGGGCTGACACCAAGACCCCACCTGGGCCTGCACCACGCCTCGCAGGGCCCCACCCTGGTGTTAAAGAGCTCCCTACAATGACACTAACCAGCGCCCTGAGCGGCCTTGCTGCTGTCACATGGAGAGGTCGGGGTCTACCCTTGCCAGGGCAGGGCTCACCTGCCACCCCATGCATAAGGGACACAGGGTCTGGGGACAGAGCTGGGCTGGGATACGGCCCCCACTGCCCGAACAAGATAGCCTCCCTGTCCAGTGGCCCTGAGGAGCCAGAGGATGAGATAAAAAGACCCAGGCTGGGCCGCGGATTTAGCGCAATGGCACCATGCCTGCCTCACAAGTGCAAGGTCCTGAGTTCGAACCCCAGTACTGGAAAAAAAAAAAGACCCAGGCTTCGAACTAACCCTGGCAGGAATAACTGGGGGATGATCTGGTGCAGAGAATCAAACTTAAAGCCTGCAATTCTTTTGATATTTTTAGTAGTCTTACCCTTTTTTTTGGTACCGGGAATCAAACTCGGGACCTTGTGCTTGAAAGGCAGGCCCTGGAACCACTGAGCTAAATCCCCGGCCCCTGGCTTACCTTTAAATCCAAGTTAATGGCAGTTTCTCAAAAAGATAGACACAGGGCTGGGGATTTAGCTCAGTGGTTTTGCCGCCTGCTGCGCAAGTGCAAGGACCTGAGTTCGATCCCTGGTCCCAAAAAAAACAAAAACAAAAGCAAAAAAAGGATAGACACAGGAATAGCATATGACCCAGCAATTTTACTCCTACGGGCAGACCCCAAAGAACAGAAAACAGATTCTGTTTGGGGGGTGGGGTACTGGGGATTGAACCCGGGACCTTTGTACTGAGCTACATCCCTGGCCCTTTTAAATTTTTTATTTTGAGACAGTGTCTCACTAAGTTATCCAGGCTGAGCTCTAACTTCTCATCCTCCTGCCTCACTGTCCCAGAGTGCTGAGATTATGGCATGTACCACCATGCCCAGCCCACAAGCATATTCTTGAACACTAACATCCATAGCTCAAAGGTGGAAAGAGCCCAAATGTAAATGGATGGGTGGATAAACAGATCTGTCCACACCTTGGAACATCCTTCAGTCATAAGAAGGAACCAAGCATAAGGGGTGTTAGAGCACAGATAAACGCTAAGAACATGTTAGGATGGGGTGGAGGTGCACTCATAATTCCAGCTACAAAGAGGTGGAGGTAGGAAAAAGATAGATAGAAAATTCAAGGCCAGCCTAAGCAACTTAGAAAGACCTTGTCTCAAAATAAAGAGGGCTGGGGCCGGGGATTTAGCTCAATGGTTTTGCCACCTGCTGCTCAAGTGCAAGGACCCGAGTTCGATCCCTGGTCCCAAAAAGTAAATAAATAAATAAATAAATAAATAAATAAAGAGGGCTGGGAACCCAGCTCTGTGAAGAGCACTTGCTCAACAGGTGCAGGCTCTGGGTTCAATCCCAGCCCTGTAAACAAACAGAAACCACCATGATGTGGTGTAAGGGACATCAGACACAATGGCCCACGTATCGCATGATGTCACTTAATGAAACACCCCACGGGTAAATCCACAGGGGCAGAAAGCACCCTGGTGGCTGCTGAGGAATGGGGGAGGGAGAAGTAGGAGTGACTACGCCAGTGTATAGTTTCTTCAGGAGTTGCGAAAATATTTAGGAAGTAGATAGAAGTGGTGGCTCCACAACAATGCGAATGTACTAAACCCCACTGAATTGCTGTTCACTTAAAAATGGTTAATTTCAAAGCCAGGCGTGGTTGCACACACCTGTGATCCCAGCACTCAGGCAGCTGAGGCGGGCAGATCCCCATGTGTTCGAGGTCAGCCTGGGCTACATAGTGAGACCCTGTCTCAAATAAACAAACAAAGGTTAATTTCAGCTTGACATGGTACACACATTCTAGGAGGCTGAAGCAAGATCATGAATTTGAGACCAGCCTGGGCAACTTAGTGATTTAGATCTGTTTCTCCAGTAGTGTGAGCATGTGTGTGTGCGTGTGAACACACACACACACACACACGCTAGCTTATTTTTTTATTTTCATTTTTTTTTCCTTTAGTTTTGTGATTCAGTCTCACTAAGTAGTACAGGCTGGCCTTGAACTCACTCCTGCTGTAGCGCAGGCTGGTCTGGATCTCTGTGATTCTCCTGCCTCCCATGTGCTGGGATTATAGGTATGCACCATCACTTCCAATTTAACATACAGATTAATTCAAAAATTTTTTCATGCTGAGGATCAAACTCAGGGCCTCATGCATACCAAGCTAGAGATCTACTGAGTTATACCCCCAGCCCCCAAATAGTTAATTTTATGTAAAATTAAGGGAAAAAACACATTAAGTTTTATTCTCTAACATACTTGCTTTAACCAAAGCATTTGAAATGTTTGTTGACCTAAAATGTCTGCCGTATCTGTGGCTTCTGCTGTGGCCACATCTCCCTCCGAGTCCCGTGGACGAGGGGGAGGCTGGGCTCGGGCACAGGCGGAGGTGCTGGGCAGTCCCTGCACTGTCCCTGTGTAGTGGGAACCAGCCCGGCCCAGGTGAGGCCCCCTCAGGCCTCAGGGCGGGCGCCCAGTTCTCAGAGGGAGCTGGCGCTGGAACTCACCCAGGGGAAATTATTTTCCTCGGGCCTAAATTTAGTCAGGGTGCCTGGACATGATGTCACTCCCCAAACTCGCTGGCAGTAAACAAGTTCAGAGCAAGGTCAACAGCTGGTGGCCGACCCTGGAGGACCGGCGCCCGGACCTGGGAAGGTCACACAGCCCGTCCACGCCCTCACTGTGACACGGGGCGTGGGCCCGGGGCAGCCCTAGAGGAGCCCCGAGGAGTTCCCGGCAGGGCCTATAGAGCTTCTGACGGTGGGGGTGTCGGGTACAGGTACCTGGTGTGGAGGTGACAGAAGCATTTCGGGGACATCTAACGCCCACGTTGCTGCAGCTGCCCTCCGAGTAAAGCGCAGAGCCAAACACGGGAGAAAGAAGCCGGGCAAGGTCACACCTGCTGCAGTGGCCCCAAACTGTCACCAACAGAGGTGGACAAGTGGCCCTTCCTCGGCCCTAGCACTAAGCTGCCGGGCTCCTGTCTTCTTCGCAGCTTGACGGGGGAGGAAACGTATTCCTGGGAGGGGCGTCGGCCCCACCCTCGCACTCAGCCCGTAAACAGCAGCCTGGACTGGACCAGGGCCTTGTTGTCGCAGCCCCTGGGCCTCCTATAGCAAAGGCACCAACCACAGGCCTGGGGTGCCGCAGCCGGGGCCACGGGGTATGAGAGAGGAGGTGCCCACCACACACGGCAAGAGGCGACAGCAAAGCCACCAGGACACTCAGCTCGGAACCAGCTCCCAGGACACGGCACTCCCCGGAGACACATCTGGTGCCGAAAGCTGGGGGACAGAGCTGCTGACATCGGTGCATAGCGTCCTGAGTGCTGTTCTAGGTCCTAGACGGCACAGGACAGTGCCCAGCAAGGAGCTGCCGCACCCCAGCGGTCACCAGTGCTGAGGCCCAGCAGCTCGGCTCCAGCAGTCCCCCCACTCCCCCAACCCACTCCCAAGGACACCCAGCAGGACGCACATGCACTTCAGTCCTGTGAGCGTCTGTCCCCAGAGCGGGGCCAGTACTGGGGCCGTGGGCGTGGAGGCGAGTGCTCCACCGTGGAGCTGCAGCCTGGCTCTGCCCAGGCTTTACTTGCAGGGACCAGGGCCTGGTCCCAGGCACACACACTGGTTGAAGGGCAAAGCGATGCATGGACCAGAGTTCCCTCAGCAATGCACGCAGGACAAAAGGTGGCTGGGCCTGGAGCTCAGTGCCAGAGTGCTGGCCTGGCATGCACAAGGCTCTGGGTTCCATCCCCAGCACCACACACACAGAAGCTCATGCCAGGTGTGGTGGCCCATACCTATAACCCCAGCACTGCAGGCTGAGGCAGGAGGACTGCCATGAGTTCAAGGCCAGCCTGGGCTACACAGTGAGATCCTGTCTCAAAAAACAAAGCAAAAAACAAAAACAAAAAATGGGAAGGACATAAACGAGCATGGGACAGGGATCTAAGTGCAGGGCGAGCAGCAGGAAGAGAATGGGACCAACCCCAGCCTGGTGAGGAATACCCTGCACAGTGACTGAGAGGTGGCAATGGTTGTTGGGGATTTGTTTTGGCTGCTCAGGAAGGGAGGCCACGGAGACCCACAGTCCTGGGCATACTTGCACTGAGACCGGGTGCTGCCCCATAGGTCCCCTCCGTCCCTGCATCCAGGTCCGACCACACCCCAGCCCCCCATGGGCCAACAGCAGACCTCCGACCAGGGCGGCCTGCGAGACTTCCGGCCTGTGACCCGGACTTCCGGCTGGCCCCGCCTCCTGCTCTCTCTCAAGCCGCTCCATTTAGTTCTGCTCCTTCCCGCATCTTTGCACCCCGCAAGCCCTTGGCAGCAGCAGCGGCTCCACCTCCAGCGCAGGAGGTCTTCCTGCCTCTGCTTACAGTGTCTACCGGGCGGTGACCCCTGGTCCCTAAGGGGACCAACCACATTTCTGGCCTCATCCTGTCCCCCAGGGCTGTGTTGCCTGCACCCCCTTGTGATGCATTCACTTGGACTCTCGCAGTCCACAGCAGGCCAGGGGCGGCTGTTCTCGGCTTTGGGTGCAACAGTGGGTATTGGGCTCACGTAAAGCAAAGTCCCTGTTTTATAGAGAGTCGCATCCTAGTGTGTGGGTAGGAAATGTCCTGAGGTTTATGACCTACTTCCCAGTGGTCCCTGAAAAACATATTTACCGACAAAGCAAAACCAAAAACAAACAAGAGCGAAGAAGAGTCTCCCTCCCAAAAAACCCCCAATAATTGCTGAATTTAGCTGGTAGACATACGAGAGCATATCATGGTATTCTTTCAATTACTTTATTGATTTATTCAGGTACTGGGGATTGAACTGAGGGCCTTAGCACTGAATTACATCCCCAGCACTTTTATATTTTTATGTTTTTTGAGATGGAGTCTCACCAACTCCCTAAATTGCCCTGGCTGAGTTTGAATTTGTGATCCTCCTGCCTCAGCCTCCCAAGTGCTGGGATTACAGGTGTGCACCACCACCCCCGGCTCTCATTAACCTTTCTTGCTCTGTAATTCTCTCCACACTTAGCTTCCAAATACAAGATTGGCTCGTTTTTAAGGGCCCCAGGAGAATGTGTCCAGGTGTCCCCCCTCTGGGGCTGGCACACGCAGGGCCTCAAGTCCCCATCCCCGCCTGGACCCCGTACCTTCGGCCCCTGGGTGCTCCTTGCCATCTGCCTGCGCCTCGTCTGCCTTGGCCTCACTGCCGTCGCTGGGCAGGGCCCCACTGGGCTCCGGGGCCGGGCTGCAGTTGCTGCTGTTCTCCTGCTTGATGGGGGAGGCGTCTGCTATGGAGCTCTGGTTGCTGTTGTCATCTGCATGGACAGAAGCACAGGATGATACCGCAGTTGCTGGGTCAGGGGCAGCTCCACGTCCTGCGCCTCAACACCCACAGGCCGGGCCCCAGGGAAGGCGGGCCGCTCCCCAGCTAGAGCTGGCAGGTGGCACATGGAACACCCTCGGGTGACCCCAGCACAGGGGAGGCTGAGGCAGGAGGATTGCCTCAATTGCAAGGCCAGCCTGGGCTACATAGAGAGATCATGCCTCAGAAAACAAAGATAAGGAACTAAGAGACCATAGCACTACAAAGTCTGGAAATCACTTGGCTTCTGCAGACGGCGCCAAATGTAACAGATTCTGGGACAACCAGGGAGTGTGAAACGGGTCTGCTGGGACGTGGGTTACGTGTTTTGGAAGTGGTACTGGTACGGACAGGAAGAGTCACGGGCTGAACTGCATGGGTCGACACCACCAGGAGGAAGGTTTTCGTGCCTCGATTTCCACATAGGCTGCAGACAACCAACTGTCAAAGCTCCCAACTTCACACTCGGAGCAGTGTTTTTTAATGTAAATTATACGTCGACTAAAAATTTAACACATTTTAAAAAATGCAGGCAGCAAAGGGACTGGTACAGATAAAAACCAGGGTGGGGGCTCTGGAGGCCTCAATACGCATCCATTTAGCTATAAATGTCTCTAGTTTCTCATTCTGTATGGCTGAGTAGTACTCCATTTTATAAAAAAACCACATCTTCTTTATCCAGTTTCCAGTCGATGGGCACTTGGGCTGCTTCCAACCTTTAGCTGTTACAAACTGTGGCACTATAAACATAGGTGCACATATATGGCTGTGGTATGATTCTTTTAATTCTTTGAGGAAGATACCCAGTAGGGGAATAGCTGGGTCAAATGGGACCTGTAGTCCTAGTTCTCTGAGTTATCTCCATATTGATTTCCACAGTGGTTGCACCAGTCTGCACTCCCACCAGCAATGAAGAAGGGTTCCTTTCTCCCCACACCCCTGCCAGCATTTGTTATTGGTTGATTTCTTGATAGCAGCCATTCTTTCTGGGGTTAGGTGGAATCTCAGTGTTATTTTCATCTGCATCTCTCGAATGACCCGTGATGTTGAGCATTTTTTCATTTATTTATTTGCTGTTTTTACTTCTTTGTCTGAGAAATGTCTGTTCATTTCAGATGCCCATTTTTGAATTGGGTCTTTGAATTTGGGGGGTCTGATTTTTTTCAGTTCTTTATATATTCTCGATAGTAGACCTTTGTCTGAGGTACAGCTGCTAAAAATTTCTTCCCACCTTGTAGGTTGTCTCTTAGCTCTGTTGGTAGTTTCTCTTGCAGTGCAGAAGCTTTTTAATACGATGAGATCCCAGTTGTTGATTCTTTGTGCTAGCTCCCGTGCTACTGAAGATTTGTTTATAAAGTCTTTTCCTATGCCAATGTCAAGAGTTCTACCTAACTTATCTTCCAGCAAGTTTAGTGTTTCTATCTTAATATTTAGATCTTTAATCCACTTTGATCTTAGTTTAGTGCATGGTGATAGGTATGGGTCTAGTTTTAATCTTTGGCAGGTGAAATCCAGTTTTTCCAACACCACTTATTAAATAGGCTATCTTTCCCTCCAATGAGGGTGGTTGGCTCCTTTGTCAAAGATGAGGTGGCTGAGTATGTCTGAAGTTGTTTCTGCATCTTCTAATCTATTCCACTGATCTTCGGGTCTGTTTCTTTGCCAGTACCATGCTGTTTTTTCCACAGTAGCTTTGTAGTATAGTTTCAAGTTGGGGATTGTGATACCCCCCCCAGCCATGTCTCTGTTGCCTAGAATTGCTTTTGCTATTCTAGGTCTCTTCTGCTTCAAAATGAATTTTTGGATTGTTTTCTCTAGTTCTGTGAAGTATATTGTTGGAATGTCAATCAGCATTGTGTTAAATCTATACAGTAGTTTTAGGAGTATGGCCATTTTCACTATATTGGTTCTTCCTACCCAGGAACAAGGGATATCTTTCCATTTTCTTAAATCCTCTTCCATCTCCTTCTTCAAAATGGTGTAGTTTTCAGTGTAGAGGTCTTTTGCTTCCTTTGTTAGGTTGATTCCTAGATATTTCATTTTTTTAGATGCCATTGTAAAAGGAATTATTTCCTGAATTTCTCTCTCAATGGGTCTGCTATTTGCATATAAGAATGCTATTGTTTTTTGAGTGTTGACCTTGTATCCAGCTATGCTACTGAATCTGTCAATTAGGTCTAGAAGACTTTTGACTGAGTTTTTTTGGTCTTCTATGTAAAGTATCATATCGTCAGCAAATAATGACAGTTTCACTTCTTCCTTTCCTATCTTTATTCCTTTTATTTCTTTCTCTTTTCTAATTGCTATGGCTAATGTTTCCAGAACAATATTGAACAGGAGGAGCTGAGGTTTTACTATATTGCCCGGGCTGGCATTCAACACCTGAGCTCAAGCAATCTTCCTGCCTCAGCCTCCCGAGCAGCTGGGTCTACAGGCACCTCGTCACCTCATTTAATCTTCCCAACAACCTCCAGGGTGGGTGCTGTCACCACCTCCACTTTACAGAGGGGTAAACTGAAGCTCGAGAGGCAGAGCCCCTCGCTCAGAGCCGTGCTAACTCGTGACCAGCCAGCCTCGGAGCTCGGACGGTGGCTGCTGGCCCCGTTCGCTCCCACCCCATCTGGAGATGAAGGAGCCCAGCGCATGGGGCCCAAGGGTGACACCTGAAAGCCCAACTCCTCTGGAGGCAGAAGCAGGCAGCTCTCCAGTTGAAGCCCATCCTGGGCCAACATAGCAAGACCTGCTCTGAAAACAAAAATCTGCAGAAAGGGCTGAGGATGCAGCTCAGGGGAAGAGCACTTGCCCGGTGGGTGTGAGGCCCCAGGTTCAATTAGGAGATTGCAAAAAATGAAACAAAACAACCACAAAAAAACTGCACAGGGCAAACACCAAGTCCCCTCCATGTCCCAAACCCTCAGGAACACAGCCTGGCCCAGGGAGGGAGGCGTGGCCCTGGGATCCAGTTGTTGGTTCATCCGGGCATCTCTGCTTTCCTGGGGCACTGGCCCAGGCCACAGCCCAGATTCTGCCTCTCAAGGGGCTGAATGCCAGCGCTCACCCCTGAAGTCATGAACTTTCCACCCGGGGGCATTACTTTGCCTCTTTCTGCCTCAGTTTCCCCATCTGTACAATGGGATTGAGACCAGATGCAAACAGGAGACAGCTTGGAATGGGCTCAGTGTGTTCCTGGCATGGGGTGATGGCTTCATAAACCGGAGCTATGGATGCACCAGAGTTTAGGGGATTATCTCCCTTAATTCCACAATGACTTTATCAAGTGGGCCTTGCCACCTGCGTTTTGCAGATTAAAACAAAAAAGATCCAAAGGCTAGAGGTTAAATTACCAGCCGAGGATCACTCAGCCAAGAGAGGTTCCCCGGAGAGTTCAGGAGGTGGCATGGGGGGCCTGGACCCCTGCTCTCAAACACCCTGTCTGGGTTCTCTCAGGCAACGCCGGGGCTAGGAAATGAATCCTGGCCACAGTGGTGTGGGCAGCTGGGAGCCGTGTGTGTGTGTGTGTGTGTGTGTGTGTGTGTGTGTGTGTGTGGTTTTTGAGCTATGTACCCCAGGATGGCCTTGAACTCATGGCGATCCTCCTGCCTCAGCCTTCTGAGTGCTAGGATTACAGGTATGTGCCACCATGCCTGGTTTTTACAGTTTGGATCTTAAATGTCCTCTCAAATTAATGTCACATGTTAAAGGCTAAGTCCAGGCATACATTTTGGGGAAGCGGTGAGCACTTTTAAAGAGCAGGGCCTGGTGGAGGCCTCTAGGCCATTGTGGGGCCCTGATGGCAACTGGATGGCTCTGGCCCTTTCCTCCTCCTTTCTGCTTTTCTGCATCCTGGCCAAGTGCTAAGTGGCGCTCCCCCAGTGCCAAGCCACCTCGCCCCAACCCAGGGACTGAAGCCTCTGAAATTGTGAGCCAAAATCAACCTTTCCATTTTTTAAGTTCATTGTCTTAGGGATTTTGTTACAGGAGCAGAAAGCTGACAGGCACCAAAGCTAACACAGGTTGGGCATTGTAGCACACACCAACATTTAATCCCAGTGCTTGGGAAGATTGAGTTTGAGGCCAGCCTGGGCTATGGTAGCACACGCCTATAATCTTAGCACTCTGGGAGGCTGAGGCAGAAAGATTGAAAGTTCAAGTCCTGCCTGGGGATCTTAGCAGTACCTGCCTCAAATAACTAATTAACTAACTAAATAAATAAATGGGCTGGGAACATTGCTCAATGCAAAGGCCCTGGGTTCAATCCCCAGTACTGACAGAAAAAAAAAAGCTAACAGTTTTATACAGACGTCAGTTTGAATTTCTGTGGAGCTTCTCCTTGTAGGGAGGGGACAGAGGCAGCCTGCTGGGCATGGCCCAGAGGGCTCTGGTGTGGGGTTTGCAAACACTGCATGGAGCCAAGCTCTGAGCTTCCTCAGGAACAGCGAGGTAAAAAGAGAAGCGATCACCAGGAAATGGCCGAGTCTCACCTCTGCCCGGCTCTGCCAGCGGGGACCCAGGTCGTACGTAACTCGGCAGTTCGGAGAGAAGGTGGGCTTGGCGGGAGGGCAGTGCCCATGGCTCTGCAGTGGCCGTTCAGTCAGCATCTGTGTGCCCCAGCACCAAAGTGAAATGGGAACCGCAGCCACCTGCACTGCAAGTCGGGCCGGACCGGGCGGGACAAAGAACGTGTGCCTCAGAATTCTCCTGGCCACACGGGGCTGCCAGGAACATGTCCTGCGAGGTTTGTCACCGGGTGAGGACAGGATTGTTTGTTTTTGAGACACCTCTCACTACGTAGCCCAGGCTGGCCTTGAACTCACAGGGATCCTCCTGTCTCAGCCTCCCTCATGCACCCCCATGACTGGCTCCAAGTCTCTCTGCTCTGTCTCTGGCTCCCTGGAAGGCTCCTGGCCTGGCGCTGGGGAAGAAGCCCTGCCCTCCTCCTCAGCGAGGCACGGAGGCCCCGGCCGCCCAGCCCGCGCAGCCCGGAATGCGAACCAACCTGCCAGGAGGGCGCTCACCGTGCATGTCCATCATCCCCGGGGAGGAGCTGTTCTCCGGCGTGGTCACCTCTGAGCCACACTTCTCATCCTTGCCCTTCTTTTTATTCTTGTTTTTCTGGAGGGGAAATGGAGTAGAAACCAAATCACTAAGGTGTGTGCGACGCGCACGCCCTGGTGGGGGAGTGGAGGCTCCACCATGTCAGTGCCCAGGAGGTGGCCGCCATGTGGGGGGCAACACCCCAGAAGTCCCGGCTGGGGGGGCCTCCTCCTCCAGGCAGCAGCCAGGAGTGGTCAAGGCACTGTCGCTAGAGCAAGTGGAAGATGAGCCAGGTGGACGAGACGGAGGTCGCTCACTTCCAGGGGCGCTATGTAATTCAGGACGGCCTGACAGCAATCCTCCTGCCTCAGCCTCCCAAGTGCTGGGATTACAGGTGGGCAGGCCCATACCTGGCCTATTTTTTCTTTTTTAAAGTGCTGGGGATGGAAGCCAGGGCCTTGCACATACTTGGCAAGTGCTCTGCCACTGAATGACACCAGACCTCGTTTTCATCATAGGAATAGAATTGTGCTGAAAATCATATGGCTTTGTCCCTAGGAAAGAGACTCTCAACAGATTAGGATGTTTCTTCAGCGTAATACAAAGAAACTAATTAACTAATATAATCTGCCAAAAATATTAACACGTAGCCAGGTGTGGTGGGGCATGCCCGTAAATTTCAGGAATCTGGGAGGCTGAGGCAGGAGGATCGAAAATTCGAGCCCAGCCTGTGCAATTTTGTGAGACTCTGTCTCAAAATAAAAAGGGCTGGAGATGTAGCTGGGTGTGAAGGCCCTGGGTTCAATTCCTAGAACCCCAAACACAAAAAATTTCAGTATCTCCAAGATGTATAAAAAAGGTGCAAACTGTGACACGGGAGGAACGTGCTGGGATTCGCACGCATGTCTGTCAGCACGGCTGCCTCTGCAAGGACAAACGAACTGGGCCGCCAGCTGCCTCCAGGGAAGAGGACTCAGGTGGGGAGGGTCAGGGATGAGAGCAGATTCCTAACAAGATCTGCAGTAAGAGGCGGACGCTGAGAGAGGAGTAGAGCAGACACGCGGCACACACCGAGGCACAGTGGAGTTGGCGGGTGCGGGTGCAGGGCGGCCAGTCAGGGACCGACAGCGACAGGCCAGAGCTTTCTTCTCTCCTTTTATTTTTTGTTGCAGTACTGGGGATTGAACCCCGGGCCTTGCACACACTAAGCAAGCGCTCTACAACTGAGCTATATTTGAGCAATATTCTAGTCCATTTCAAATTTTATTTGAGACAAGGTCTTGCTAAGTTGCCCAGGCTTCCTGCCTCAGCTTCCTCAGTAGTTGGGATTACAGGCGTGTGCCATCACCCCAGATTGTTTGCTTGCTTCCTTACTTTTTAAAATTATAATTATTAGTTAGGTGTGGTGGTGCACACCTGTAATCCCAGCACTTGGGAGGCTGAGGCAAGAAGATTGCAGCAAATCCGAAATGAGTTCAAGGCCAGCCTGACCTGTACAGGGAGATCCTGTCCCCCTCCCAACATTTATAATTATTGACATAAATTAACTGAACAATAGAATGAGTTTGTTTGCATTTTGTTTTAGGGGAGATAAAAATGTTCCAGATAGCGGTGATGGTTGTACAATTACGGATACACTAACACTGAATCATATACCTTGAAAGAGTGACTTTTGAAGTAGACATGATGCTGCATGTCTATAATCCCAGCTCTCTGGGAGGCTGAGGCAGGAGGATTGCAAGTTCAAACCTAGGTTGGGCAACTGAGCAATTTAGTGACACCCAGTTTCAAAGTAAAAAATAAAAAGGGCTGGGAATATAGTTTAGTGCAAAGGCCCTGGGTTCAATCCCTACTGCCCCAGAAAAGAGTAAATTCTGGGCTTGGATAGAAGGCTAGCTTTGCATTCCTGTGGTCCTGGGTTCAATCCCCAAAACTGAGAAATTTAAAAAAGAAGAAAAATGAGCCAGGGATTTAGCTCAGCGGTGTCGCCGCCTGCCTCACAAGGGCAAGGTCTTGAGTTCGACCCCTGGTACCAAAAAAAAAAAGAAAAACGAATTTCATGATATGTGAAAAGACAAAATAAAAAGAAGGCTGGGGTTGTACCTCAATGACAGGGTACCCTGGGCTCAATACCCAGTGCCAAAACAAAACAAAGTGTTTGAAACCAAAGGACCATAACTGCTCTTAAAGTGACATGTGAATTTTGAAACACGTCTTACTTGTTTAAAAAAACAAAAATTTCAGTTCTAAAGTAAAAACAAAAAATAGTGTAACCATACAGAAATTGGGCATTTTGTCCTTGGTTTTATTTTTTTGTTTGTTGTTTTGAGACAGGGTCTCGCTATGTAGTTCAGGCTGCCCTTGAACTCGCTGCTATCCTCCTGCCTCAGCCTTCCGAGCGCTGGGAACACAGGCGTTCTGTACCATGCCCAGCTTACAAGTGGGTATTTTTAAAAACCATATGAAGCCATCCCTCCACACTCCAGGCTCCTGGTCCCGAGCTGCAGAGACTCTGACTCAGCTGCGGGGATTTTAACAAAATGCTCAGCAGGGCTGGGAACCCTGCCCTCAAGGGCAAGAGGGTTCCACACGCTGGGTGCAGGGACACGAAGGGAGCTGGTGTTTCTGGGGTACGGTGCTAGGGCCACTGGGCACTCCACAAACTGGCTCACCACCCCACTGCACAGAAAGACGAGGCCGGGTACCTCCCCAGGGACACAGAGGAACAAGCCCGGGCCCTGGCCACTCCCGGAGCCCCACCAGGCCAGCAGGGACAGCACCTGGGTCCCGCGCCCAGCACCAGCCCTGCCTGGCAAGCTGTGACCAGGGGTCATCTGGGGTCTCAGGGAGGGAGGCTCGGCCCTGCGTCCCGAGAAAGCTGGGCACGCAATGTCTGCCAGGCCCAGGTCCCTGGAGGCTGTCTGTCTGAGCCACCTTCCGGGAGGGGAGGCAGGAGGAAAGGCCCAGGCAGAGGCCCCAGTTGGATTCTTGGACAGGAGAGCGGCTGACCCGGGTCCTGGGCAGTGACACCCTGGCAACAGGAAGCTGGGCCCTGGCAGCAGCTGTGCCACGGGCCCTGGGGACCAGCACTGCCCCTGTGGCTCCCCCTGGTGGTCGCAGTCAGTGTGCCCCAGGCACCCTGCACCCCACTTTCTCCCTCCTGGGGCCACTGTTGCCACCAGAAGGCTGTCCTGGTGGGTGCTTTAGTGACAGGCAGACCTGAACTTGACTCTCAGCTCTGACACTCGCTGTGTGGCTCTGGGGAAGTGGCCTCCCCTCTCTGAGCCTATGTCCTCAAACATCAACACGGAAGGCTCCACAGGAAAAGCACATGACAGGACACCTGACCCATGGGCACAGCTGGCAGACCGCCCGGTGCTCAGGCATGTGCCACAGCCGAGAGGATGGGCAGCTGTCTTTGGGTGCCGTGGTGCCAGGGCCCTGGGGAGGGGCAGCCCTGTACTGAAGGGCGTCCCCAGGGCCCTGGCCCAGAAGACACAGCTCGAAGGGACACTGCGTCCTTCTCTGAGGGCCACTCTGGACTGTGCAGGGGGTGGGGACGCAGGTGTGGAGCCCCCCAGGTGGTGCTGAGGGCAGGTGATAGCCCTCTCCGCAGCCCCGCCCCGGACCAGAACTGCAAACTCACGTCGTCCACTTTCGGCTCCGTCACCGGGACCCACTTGTAGATTCGGAGGGATGTGTCGCCAACCGTGACCCACTTCTTCTCCCTGCGGAGGTCAGAGGAGCCAGGAGCAGGGTCAGCACCTGCAGCCTGCTCACCCCAGGAGGCACAGGGCCTCCTCCCCAGGGCAGCAGAGCCAGACCCTGTGGGGGGCCCTGCATCCCACCTTTGGGACTCCTGCAGGATGGCGTCCAGGCCCCGCCGGGAAGGAGTGGGCAACTGGCTTCCTGAGGCGCAGGACGCACCTCGCCGCAGAGGGCCGCCACATTCCAGGTGATGGCTGTGGCCGCCCAGCCTACCCAGACTGGGGCCGCCCAGCCTACCCAGACTGGGGCACAGGCTCGGGGAGCCCTGGAGGCGAGGCTGGGGTCCTGCACCCCAAGGTCACCCAGGACCCACCAGCGGCCCAGCGGGGAACCTGGCGGATTCAGAGGACCCCAGTGGGACGTCACAGCCAGACACACACTTGGCCCAGGAGGCAGAGCTGCCAGGGGCCCCCAGCCTCTTCAGTGACAACAGCCCCCTGGGACCAAGAACTGGCAGTGGCCCGAGGACCCCAGCTGCCTGACGCTTTCACATCTGGGCTGGACACCAAAGCCCAGGTCTCACGCACACCAGGCAAGTGCTCTACCACTGAGCTGCACCCCAGCCCTTGTGCATTTTATTTCATTTTGAGAGAGGGTCCTGTGATCCCCCGCCTCGGCCTCCTACCCAGCTGGGATCACAGGCCTGCATCACTGAGCCTGGCTGCTCCACACTCATTTTGGCCTCTGCACCCAAGCTGCCCTTGGCTCTCCCCTTGTGCGTGCACGGCCTTCACGCACTACTGGACACACCGCAGGGGCTTCTGGGCCAACCAGAACCACAGACGCCCCACCCCACACCCTGCTCACTCAGGCCCACACCCACCCTGCCCTCGGGGCAAGGGACTGGCTCTGCCCTGGCCCCAGTGCCATTGCCAGCGTGCTGAGCACCAGACAGCTGCTCTGGTCTCCCCATAACCTGTGCAGTAGGAAATACCACTGTCCCCACTTGACAGATAAAGAAACTGAGGCACAGAGTGGGCACTGGGCTGCTTTGTGGAGCAGTTGTCAGGCCCCTACCCCGTCCCCCTTTCTTTCTTTTTTTTGAGTCAGTCTTACTATGTAGTCCAGGCTGGCCTGGAACTTGCAGTGATCCTCCTGCCTCAGCCTCCCAAGGGCTGAGATTTCAGGCCCACCTTCCGCTCTCTTGTCACCTGTGAACACTGTAAGTCCATTCTGAGGAGCAGTGTGAGTGACAGAGCCTGTGCAAATGCCCAAGGCCGCCCACCAGCCTCCTCGACCTGGGCCCAGCAAACTGACACAGGAGCGGTTTGAATGAAGGGACCTGTATCACACGGGATGCCCTTCAGGCCAGAAGGCATGCAGGCGGCAATGAGCCAAGACACGAATGCTGGAGCTGCTGTCCTCCCTGAGGGGTTCCAGGCCTCAGGTCATGAGCTCTAGGCTCCAGAGGTCCCAGCTGGACGCCCCTCTGCTGAGCCACCCCGGATGAGCAGCTCTAGCTGTGGCCATTGAGGAGCTTGGGGCAGAGGCGGAGCATTCAGAACACGGCCTGGGGGAGGGCTGAGGCAGGAGGTTTGTAAGTTTGAGCCCAGCCTGGGCAACTTCAAAAGACTATGTCTCAAAATTAAAAGATAAGAACGGGCTGGAGGGCTGGGGATTTAGCTCAGTGGTTCCACTTCCTGCCTCACAATCGGAAGGACCCGAGTTCAATCCCTGGTGCCAAAAAAAGGCGGGGGGGGAGGCTGGGGATGTAGCTTGGTGCAAAGGCCAGGGTTCCAACCCCCGTGCAGTTGAGGTCTCTCACGATGGGCTCGAAGCCATCTGCCCAGAATGCCAGGCCCCAGGCTGCCATCACTTTACAGTGGCCACCCGGCAAGTTTGCTTTGCCCTGCGTGGTACTACTTTTAAAAATGTGAATCAACTGTGAAACTCAAAAAAAAAAAAAAATACCCAAAAACAAAACAAAACAAAAAAAACCCCAGGCTCTATAAAAAAAAAATCCAGATTTCCAGCTATCTTGAAAACATGCTTCAAGGAGCTGGGGATTTAGCTCAGTGGTTCCACTGCCTGCCTTGCAAGCTTAAGGTCCAGAGTTCAATCTCTGGTACCAAAAAAAAAAAAAAAACCAAACCAAAACAACAACAACAAAACGTGCTTTGAGCCATGTGTTCTGAAGCGACAGTCTGCTTCAGACACTCCCACATCCCCTGTCCCCAACACTGGTAGGCACTGGGCCTGGATTCTCCCCTACACTGGGTGTGCTCTGAGCCCTCCCTGGTTCGATGGGCCCTGGTCACCAACATGGCTGCAGGGCCTCTTTCTTCCCATCAGACTTGGCTCCTGGGACAGAAGCAGGAAGTGAGGTCCCCCAGATACAGGATATGCTCCCAAACATTCCTCCCCAGCACGGGCTCCTTTAGAAATGACGAGGACCCATGCTGGATGCTCCAAGCCCACAGCCAAACAGACCATCTTGGGGTCACCCACTGCCTGGGTGACCCTGCTGCCTGCACAGAGTGTTCCAGGACCCTCAATTGGCATTTGCGCCCAGAGCTGGTCCCTGAGGTGGCAGGAGGCTGGGCCTATCGCTGGCTTCATCCTAACTAGAGCCACCTCATCTGCAGGTACCTTGCAGGAAAGGACCTGTGACAAACCCCCAGAGGTTGCAAAGCGGGGTCCCTGGGATCAAACCTCCACCTCTGTCTCCACCAGTGCCACCCCTACTGCTCCTTGTCCTCTTACCCGGGCCCAGACTCTGGCCCATTCTCCCTGAGAAGGACCCACCACTCTGTTTCCCTCAGCCACTCTCTGACCACCTACCCAGCCTGTTCCCCGGGATGCTTGACCGAGAGGAGACAGGAGGCCGACGGCAGGGACCAGCAGGGACCCCACAGGCAGCGCTGGCAGAGGGGGTGTTCAGGGTCCCTGGGGCTCAGAAGAAACACCCCCCCAGCTTATGGCAGTGGGGACACCTGACACCCTGGTGCTCCTCTGCGTGAAACACAGCTGCCTGGTGCACACGGGCACCACAGGGAGTGGGCGGCTTCCTGGTATAAATCTGTCCCCAGCATGCTGTGGGATAGCACTTTTACACTAAGAAAGCTTTTCTTTTTTGGTGGGGATTGAACCCAGGGCCTTGTGGGTGCTAAGCATTTGTTCTACCTCTACCACTGAGCTACTCTCAGCAGTAACATTTTAGTTTTTCTCCCTTCTTCTCTCTCTCTTTTTTTGAGACAGGGTCTCACTATGTAGCCCAGGCTGGTCTCGAAGTCTCCTGCCTCATCCTCCTGAGTGTTGGAATTACAGGCATGCACCACCATGCCTGGCTAGTAACATTTATTTTTAAAAACTATTTTGCTGTTTATCTGAAATACAAATTTAACTGAGTGTTGTGTATTTTTATTTGTTAAATCTGGCAACCGCACATCCCAGACCTTGAGGAAATGGATGGCTGGTGGTCATAGTTAATAAACAACCCTGACCCATTCCAAAAGCACAGCAAGGACCTGATTAGCCTCTGTTGGGCTGGAGAAACCCGGGCACTAACCCCAAGCTTTCTGCCTATAAGGGGCAAAAAAAAAAAAAAAAAAGGCAAAGCCAAGTTTCCAAAGTCCCCTTCACAATGAGAACAATATGTTCCAGCACCTGTGATTGGGTATGACTTTCTTGTCCCTAACAACCAGGTTAGAGAAGTGAGCGCTGTGGGGCCCAAGGTCACAGTGGATGCCCAACCCAGAGGTCCCAAGCCTGAGGTCTGCAGGACATGACAGCCTGTTTCCCAAGCGCAGGGACAGGCATGGCTGCATCCCCCTCCCCGGCCCCAGGCCTGGGAGGCAGCATTTGGCCAGACTGAAAGCCGACTCTGCTCTGGGGCGGGCCAGTGGGGAGCACCAGCCCCTCCATCTGCCCTCTTTGCAGAGCAGCTGGTGGCCCTGGGTACAGCTGTCACAGCACAGGAGGCTGGGCTGGGCTGGAACCTGGGGCAGGAAGCCCTGCCGCACCTCCAGGAGCAGAAATAGAAAGGCAGCTTCCCAGGGGCCGTCCCACCCTACAAGCCAGGGACAGACACAAGGGATCCTGCCTGCCCCGACCCCAGGTCTTTCTTCTCACGGGGGCTGAGACCACCCCAACCTTCCCCGGGGAGTCACTCGGGCGAGGCAGGGATGTCGGGCTGTTTTTCTGCGCGTGTTTCGGCCTGCAGCTGTTTCTGCCATTTTTAAATGGCTCCAGTTGGCCATTGGGGCGCCCTGGGCAGCCAGGGAGCCCCCTGCAGCACCCAGGACTTGGATCTCAACTTTGGAAAGCCTCCTCCTCTCAGGGTTGTGAAAATTCTTTGTCCCGTTGGAGCCAAACCCTGCCCACGGCCGGGCATCCGGCCATCCCAGCGGCCCTTTCCATAGGAGGCCCGGGAGCACGTGGACTTTATTGATTTTCCTCTCGCCTTTTTTGTTGGGTTTGACTCTGAGAAAGGACAGCTAACTTGTGACACCGCCAGGACAGACGGGAGGCTCGCCCCCCACGGTTTGCAGAGAGCCAGGCACTCAAGAAATGACACCCCCAAATACAAACAGAGCCTGTCGCAGGCCTGGCCGGTATGGAGGCTTTAAATAAAGGGTCAGAACGAGCCCGCGGGCGCTGACACTCGGGGACACCGTCGCGGCTACTCCTCTCCCTCCCAGACCCTAGTGAAGCCGTGGGGAAAAAAAAAAATTATAAAGTTGAAATCAGAGAGCGGGGAGTTTTGAGCAGGTCCGACCCAGCCGGGAGATCAGCTCGCGCCCCGGTCCTGGCCCTGGGGCCGCTTCAGAGTGAGACTCCCACCAAGGGCGGGGCACCGTCCCAGCCCACGTCTCCGCGGTGAGGCCACGCCGGGCGCGATCACTCGCGCGCCTGGAGACCGTGCGCGGCCCACCCGGATCTCCGGGAGCCCCCAGTGCCGAGAACAAAAACAAGGGCTCTGCGCGCAAAACAACCGCGGCTCCGCTAAGGGCGGCAGACGCGAGCCAGGACCCGCTCGTGACCCCAGGACCAGCCGCCCCGCGCCCCCGGCCGCCCGGGCGGGACGTGGGTGCCCCGCGCCGCCCCCATCCTCCCGGCCGCGAGCTCTGGCTCCGGGCAGCCCAAAGCGCTAAATTTAAACGGCGGGCGCTCGGCAAACTACTCAGACTCGGGGGCTCCGGGCCGGGGCGCGGGGCGCGGGGGCCGGGGGCACGGGCCCCGCGCGGGGCCGCACAATGGAGCTCGCGCTCTGCCCGCCGCCACAGCCGGCACGGCGGCCCCGGCGCGCGGGAAGCCGCTTTCATGTGACTCGCACGACACGAAATGGCTTCTGGGGCCGGCCCGACCCCCTCCCGCGCTGCTCGCCGCGCCCCCCGCCGGCCCGCGGCCCCCGCCGCTGCCCCCGCCGCGCCAGGTGGGCGATAGCGCGAGCGCCACCTGGGCAGCGCCGCGGCCCCCGCCCGGCGCAGGTGACCCTGCTCACGCCGCCCCCGCCTTCGCCAACTCCGGGCCCAGGCGGCCCGCGGCGCTGCGCCCCGGCTCGGGCTCGGGCTCGGGCTCGGGCTCCGGGGTCCCGGCGATCGCAGCCGGCGCGGGCGCGCGCTCACCATTTGCGCACTTTCTCGATCGCCGCCATGACCCGCTTGATATCATCTTTGGCGCGGCTCCTGGTCTCGGCTCGAACCGACCTGCCCGACATGGTTCCGGCGCCGACAGGGGCTGGGGAGCGCGCCCGCCGGGTCCTGCTCGCGCTCCGAGCCGGCCACACTCGCGCCCGCTCGCTCTCTCGACACGCGCACACGCGCACTCACACACACACTCGCGCGCGCGCGCGCACACACACACAGACACACACACACACACACACACACACACACACACACAAAGCCTGTGCGCCGCGGGGCCCAGTGCGCACGCGCCGGGCGCCAGCTGCACCAGGCGGGGAGCAGCGCCGCCGCGGTCTCGGGCTGTGCGGCCTCCGGGCGCCGCCGGCTCCCCAACCCCAGCCCAGCCCCGGGGGGCAGCCGCATCCTGACCCCCAGGTCCGGAGGACCGCCAGATCCCCACCCCTGTACGCGACCATCCGGAGCACGCGGATGGGGGCTCCCTGGGAGCCAAGGCCGCAGGTGCCGTGGGCACCCTGGGGACCGCGGGTGGCCACCCAGGGGCGCATTCCTAGGGACCCGGCCCAGCGACCTGCGCCCCGCCCGGGTCGGTGCGATGATGCAAGTTTGCTGTGGGCTCTGCACTTGGCGGAGTTGGCGGACGCGGGGGCTCCCAAGGGAGGTGGCGCGCGCCTCGGATGCTCCGCTGCCCCCCCACCACCACCACCACCGGGGGACAGGCGCCTGCCAGGACTTCGCTGCCTCACGCCCCCGGCTTTTTGCAAAAGTAGAGTCGTAGGAAAGGCGGCTGGGCTCGAGCCCCGTGATGACGGGCAGTGTCACAGGACGCTTCCTTCTCCCCTAGTTCAGGGCAGGAGCCGCAGGGAACCTTGACCGGCTCCACATGGGAGACCAGGTTGAGGCCAGGTGCTGCCCCTGCGCAGAACACCCTGCAGGTGACAAGGGCTGGAGCGACTCACGAGGGGGCTTCTGAGGGTCCCTCTCGCCCCCTCGGCCTCAGGACAAAAGGCCTGTGAGGGCAGCTACAAGGGTCAGGATAATCAGGTGCCACAGCCGAGCACAGCTACAGCCCCACAGACCTGACCGTGGCCAATGCCTGCCCAGTGGATGCCGGGAAAAGAGAGCCCGCCAGGCTGCAGCTGAACTCGCCTTACACTAGGCATTGCAGTGGGGACAGCGGGCAAGGTCAAGGCTGCTGCTGTGTGCAGAACCCAGCAGGTTCTCCTGGGGGTTCCGGGTTTTGGGAAGCAGGGGATGGATAAAAAGTTACTGGGGAAATGTAGTGAAAGAGTTCAGGCCTTTTCCTCTCTTGAAATGCAAGTTCCTAATGTGAAAAATGAAATAAGAAAAAATGCTGGGGATAGTGGCTCCTGCCTATAATCCCAGCACTCTGGAGGCTGAGGCAGGAGGATCGCCATAAATTCAAGGACAGCCTGGGCTACATACCAAGACCTTGTATCAAAACAAAGAAAATAAGAGGAACTACCTCAACGGACCTGGTGATGCATGCCTGTAATCTCAGCAGTCTGTAAGCCTGAGGCAGGAGAATCTCAAATTCTACCCAGCCTAGGTGATTTAGCAATTCTGTCTCAAAAAGAGCTGGGGGTATAGCTCAGTGCCAAAGACTTGATTTCAATCTCCAGTACCCCCAGTACATTACCCAGAGAACCCTTCTCAGGATTATGTGGAAACTAGACACGGCAGCTGGGACCTGTGCTGCAGGCCTGCAGCCCCAACTACTCAGAAACTGAGGCCTGAGGGTCAAACCAGGAGTTTGGACCACCTTGGGCAACAAAGTGAGACCCTGCCCTAAAAAACAAGCCAAAGTAACAGCACATGATGATCAGAAGTCTCATCCTGCCGGCCCTCTGCTGTACCTGTCCCTCGGATTTGTGCTTTGGCCACAGGGACCTATTTCATTTATTTATTTTACAGATAAAGTCTCACTGTGTTGCCTGGTCTGGCCTGGAATTCCTGGGCTCAGGTGACCCTCCCTCTGCCTCAAGCAGCTGGGGCTACAGGTGCACACCACTGTGCCCAGCTACATTTTATGTAAAACAAAAAGATACCATGTTAAAAATCCAAATAGCAGCTGGTGGTGTGGGGGCGCATGCCTGTGATCCTGGGACTCTGGGAGGCTGAGGCAGGAAGATGGAAAGTTCAAGCCCAGTCTGGGTAATTTAGCAGCTTAATGAGACCGTGTCTCAAAAAAAAAAAAAAAAGTGAAAAAGGTCTGGGATGTAGCTCATGGCAAAGGCCCTGGGTTTAATCCCCAGAACCCTAAATAAATCAACTGATGAATAGGTAAATGTGTATATCCACACAATGGAATACTCTTCGGCCATGAAAAGGAATGAACACATGCTAAATACATCATGTTTGAAAACATGCTAAGTGAAAGCAGCCAGCACACAAGTCAGATAGATGTCCAGGTGAATCTGCAGGGATAACAAATAGGCAGGTGGTGCTGGGGAGGCGGAGGGGATGAGAGAGACCAAAGCAGCAGCCTCAGGGCATGGAGCTTCCTTTTAGGGTGATGCAAAACCTGTGGAACTAGAAAGAGGGCAGAGTTTTCCCTCATTTGTACACTTTAAATTGGTCGCAGTGGTCTATTTAAGGTTACATGTATTTGATCACCCTAAAAAGAAACCCAACACCAGGCGTGCAGGTACACGGTAATCCTAGCACTCTGGGAGGCTGAGACAGGAGGATCACAAGATCTAGCCCAGCCTGTGCAAATAGCCATATAGTGAAACCCTAGCACTGTTTGCTGGTGGCCTTCAGACAAAGCTGTATGGATGACCAGTGTGCCCTCCCAGCCCCTTGACTCATTTCTGTTACCTGTGTGGTCTCTGAAGATTTTGAATTTTTGGTCCCTGATTAAACCGTAAGCTATTTTCAAAACAAAATTTTGAGACAGGGTCTCGCTATGTAGCCCAGGCTGGCCTGGAACTCATGGCAATCCTCCTGCCTCAGCCTCCAGAGTGCTGGGATGACAGGCATGTGCCATGACATCCAGCTCAAATATTCTTTTTTTTTTCCGGTACCAGGGATCAAACTTGGACCCTTGCGCTTGTGAGGCAGGCGGTGGAACCACAGAGCTAAATCCCCAGTGCCTCAAATCTGGCATGTCGTTTGTTATCGATTCCTGTCCCTGCTTCTTTCCACACAGGCCAGCTGTTTTAGGGCCTGTCTGCCGATGCTGCTATGGGACATATCCGAGGTTCGGTCTCTGCTCCATCTGCTCTCGCTCGTGGTGTCCTATTTCCTTGTGACCCATCTAGCTCTCTTGGACTATGCCAGACACGGTATTTTAAATTTTATTTATAGGGATAATTTGAGGCTTCCCTGTCGAGATGATTTATATTTGCCTCTGCCAGGCTCCCAAGGTCCCTGCTCATCCAAGATCAGGGCTGCAGTTCCCTGACCACGCCCACCATGCCAGGCCTGGCTGCGCCCAGGCACCAGTCTGCCCCGGGCGGAGCCTGAGTGTGCTGCTGCTGGTTACAGGTTGCACTTCTTCTTGTCTATTTTGGTTTTTCGAGACAGGGTCTCACTATGCAGTTCAGGCTGGCCTTGAGCTCACTGTGTAGCCCGGGCTTGCCTTGAACTCATGGCATCCTCCTGCCTCAGCCTCCCAAATACTGGGCACCACTCTGCCCAGCTCTCCCCTTCTACATGGCCCTCCCTGGCTGCCCCCTCTAAACTCAGGCCCCTCCTATGTCCATCTCCTAGGGCCCAGGTGTCCCTCATGCCTCTGGGGCAGGTGGCACTAGGTGGCACGTACTAGTGATGTCACTAAACTCAGCCTGGCAGGAAGCACTTCCAGGGTCTGCACCGACAGACACAGCATCCCCTGATGTGCTGTGAGCCCCTTGGTGACATCAGAGTGAGGGGGTGGAGAACGGCTGGGCCTTTCCCACGGGGGTGACTTGGGCCCAGCTGCTCCTGGTGCCACCATGATTCCCAACTCTGAAGAGGGGCAGCAACGCCAGCCCTTTGTCTGGCCAGTGATTGCGGTCGTGTGGGCACTTGGCCACTGTCTGGAGCAGCCACCGTGCCCTTGGCAGGCCCTGCAACAAATGGCGAGGTCACTGCAGTTGCTGCTGTCCCATTACTGTCCCAAGGCCACTGAAGAAAGCTGTGTCACAGGGCTTCCAGTTTTGACTTTCTGGACACAGCCAAGCCCCAGCCCACCTTTTCCTTTCTTTCCTTTTCCTCGTCCCTCTCACTAAGCCAGCAAAGCCTGGTTGCCATGCAGGAGGAAGCAGCAACCTGCCACCGTCCCCAGGGGCTGTATCTGTTTATCACAGGCAACTGTGAAGGAGCTGCCTGCTGGGACCGTGGCCAAGTCCCTGAAGGACACACGCTCCTGAAAACACCTGTGTCCAGGGTGGCGACAGCTGGGGGACACAGGTGTTTCTGAGATCGGCTTCCTCTGTGTCACTGCAAAGTCCAGGGAGGGGTGGCCAGGTTGGCACCGGATGGGCATGAGTGAGGGGACCGGGAATGGCAGGCATTGATGGCTCTGGAAGCAGAGTGTGCGAGTGCTTCTGGGACTCAGAAGGCTGCAGGAGGATCACAGGGTCAAGCCCAATCTGGGCAACTTGGTGAGACCCTCCCTGTCTCAAAATTAAATAACAAGGAAAGGGCTGGGGGTGTAGCTCAGGACTCCCCGGGTTCAATCCCCAGCACCAAAAAAAAACCAACAAAAAACGGAAGAAAGGTATCCATATTTTTCTTTTGTTTGTATTTTTGAGGCAGAGCCCTGCTCCGTAGTTCAGGCTGGTCCTGAACCCACTGTGTAGCCCAGGCTGGCCTTCAACTTGAGGTGATTCTCCCATCTCGGCCTCCTGAATGCTGAGATTACAGTCACGCGCCACTATGCCTGGCTTTGTCCCTATGCCTAGAGACCTTGACAGTGTTTGAAGAGTACAGGGCAAGTGTTTTGTACAGATTCTGGATGAATAACCTTGGCCTGTGAGGTAGAGCAGGGATAGGTGGGTTACAGCCTGGGGACAAACCCCAGTTGCCATCTGGTTTTGTAGTCTGCAAGCGAAGAAGGGTTCAAATGGTTTTAAAAAGTCAAAGGAGAGGCAGCTGCGGTGGTGCATACCTGTAATATCAACACGTGGGAGGCTGAGGCAGGAGCATCACCATGAGTTCCAGGCCAGCCTGGGCTACAGCCTGAGATTCTGTCTCAAAAAATAAGGGCCGGGGATT